CCCACCCCCAAGAGTCTCTTCCATCATTGCCTGGGGCCGGACTTCTCCGTGCCATTTATGAGATTTCCACTGTGGTATCCACTTGGCCTCCAGGTGAAGTTCATTCCATCTTGCCAGCCTTCCCTCAAGCCACTCTACCCTCTTTCCATTGCAAAGTCCTTACTTTTAACTCTTGGTTTCCATTCTCACATCTTCTAAGATGACATTCATTAGAAGAGAAGTCAGACTGAGGAGTTAGGCCCACCCCTGGCTGGCTATGATTTACATGCTGTGCAGGAGGTAGAGAATGAGAGAATTGGGGCCAGGCTGGTGCTCAGAAGCACCCAGTTTCCCTGGGTAAGTCACTTGGCTTCTCGAAGACCCCATTTATGCACCTGTAAATTGTGGCTGCCTCGTTCACAGACTGCTTGAGAGGGCCTAATGTCATAATGCCTTGTTCACAGACTGCTTGAGAGGGCCTAATGTCATAGGAATCTGGCCAGGAAATAGATGAAACGGGGCAACCAAGTAGCCGATCTAGCTCTGGCTGTTTGTATTATGTAGAGGAGATATTTGGGATTGCAGTTCCGCATTGCTGTGGCTGTTTTGGGGTCCCTTAGATGACCAGGAACATGGAGAATGCTAACATTTGTTCAGCACGCTGGTGTCACCCAGCTGCCTCAGGCTGTGCCCAGCTCCTCGAGGTCTGAGGGGATCAGTATCTCCGCAGGCCTTTGACGATTCGAGATATGTCATGATCAGGAACTCAGTCTCACAGGGCCTGAGAGGCCTGCCATCTTCCTGGGGGGTATCCATTCTTTTCAGGGCTGTTAGCAAAATTTTTTGTGGGGGAGATTTTTTTGGTGGTGGCATTTGGTTCTTTTATGGCCCTTCCTTTATCTGGACCATGAATAATCAACTGATGGATCCCTATCCCTGTTCTCATTTTCATTCCTGGGGATGCCCTACTTGGTGCTTTAGGGAAAGAAAGATGAGTGGGAGCTAGAGGTCATGAGGTAGAACATAGCACCTGAAAACAGTCATGGAGCCCAACTGTCAGAGTTCTGGCTGTCTCTGGGCTCTGAAAATGTCCTTTGGAAACTATCTGTGCTGCGTCACTTCCTGGGACTATGCTTAAGACAACCTTAGCTCCCTGTATAACAACACACTGGGACGGAGTTTAGGTGGCCTGATGCCACCACCGGGGAGGGGGCAGGGTGTGTGCTTGGAGCTGGGAAGGAGAAGTAGAGAAATGAGCCAGGCCCACTCTAGAGCCCCTTGTCAGTCTCCCTCCCCTGGTCCCAGGGTCTTGGCCAGTCTAATTTCCCAGGCTACCATGTATCTAAACTCTTCTTTGGATGGTGCCACGCTGTTCTCAAATCACCTTCCTTCCTTTTATCCCTATAGGAATATGGGATGTAGGTATTATTTTTATTTTCTTCCTAATTCAGACGGAACCAAGAGCCCTCTGAGAAACTGGATAACTTGTTCTGGAAAGTGATAGGCTGGGGACATAAGCCCAGGCAGCTGTCACACTGTCATCTACTGCTCTCTCGGGACATTTGCCCCGGCATAAGTTTTGCCACAGGTGTCTTCTGTTTGCAAAGAACAGGAGAAAGTTCCTTCTGTGGCTGAGCAGTGTTCCTAGAGAGTTTGTGGGAGCAGGAGCCTGGGGCCCATAAGTCCCCAGGACTGAAGCAGCACAGTCCAGGGGGACAGCAGCTCAACAACGTGAGGCAACACCTTGGTCTGCCAGTGACGGAGAACATGCCAGTCACCGCGACTGTCAAGCGAGGTTTCCATAATGAGACCACACAAGGGTAGCGTTTGGAAGTGCTGCATAGAGAGAGAAGTGGGATTCTCTTTTGATCTATATGCATTTTTATACCCAGGACATGGATCTTCATTTACTTGCCTTGACTTCTGAGATTAATATAATCTAGAATAAAAATTTTACATACCTATGTTTCAGACACATAAAATAGAGGCTATAGATTGTTTTGTTGTCATTTTATTCGTGAAGAGTTCAAAGCCCTGCCCTTGGCATGTCTAGCATGTTCTAAGTCTGTAACTGGTTCTCTGGGTGGTTGGGACAGACCACTGAATAGAGTCTACCTCAGACCCTTGGGGAATTTAGCCCAGAGGTTCCTCTTCTGTGATTTGCTTCCATTCCAGTCAAGACCAGCATGTGGATCATCTGTCTTTTCGTTAACCTCAGTCCTTCGTGAATCTGTTAGTGTGGGTCATGGATTCGTTCCTTATGCATGCGAGCTAGCTGCACGGTCTTTCACGGCCACGGGTCACTCCCAGAGACTCCAACAGCGGCTACCATTTTTGCTATGAAAAGCGAGGAGCAAGGGGTTGGGTGCCTGAACAGGGGGTCAGATAGGAGCGGTTCTCAGGCTCAGCAACCTTCAGGGGCTTTCGCTGGAGTCACACATGGCAGTTGTTGCCCTGGGGTTCTGGAAGCATGCCCATGACCAGTGTTTCCATCACTGGAGGTCTAGATGGATAAACCAAGCATAGTAAAGTTGGGTGATCTGTTCAGCCCAGAAAGATCACGGCAAATTGAAGTAACACCTGTGGATGCTTTGCTCCATTGGTTAGAGACTTGACGGTGAACCTGGAGGGGTGGGCATCCATAGAAGCCGAGACTGAGGCTTTGCTCATTCTCATGTTTCTCACAAAGGGATGGATGATTATTGAAGGTATTGACGGAGACCCCTGCTAGATGGGATGCTTATTGACAGCCTACGTCCTCACCAGGGAAGGTCCTCGAAGCCACTCTTCAGCTCCCTCTGCACGGGGTGTGGAACTGATGACAGCCTTGTGGGTCTCCACACCCCAAGCCACCCCTGAGAAGTCCTGACACCAAAAGGGATGCCCTGGGAAGGGCTGCCAGGATTTCCTGTGTCGCTGGGGCAGTCATCCAAAGGTCACAGACTCTGCAAAGGCACCGCCTTTGTGGCTCAGTGGAAGGCCCAGACCACGGGGGTCCGAGTTAATTGATCACACTGGGGAGACTACTCCATTGAAGTCGGACGCAGCAGGATGAAGGAGGGACTGAACTGATTAAGAATGGGCTTAACTGAGGAGCTAAGCTGCCTCCAATCCGCGGAAGTAGGCAGGATGGAAATCATAAATCATAAATAAGCAAAATGCAGGTACTAAATAAAGACACTTTCAATCTACCATCCCTCACAGCTTGCAAGTGTTGCAAGGTGGCAAAGCAGCGACATTGGTGCGGGTGGCTGATCGGGGTGGACACCTCCTGACACTGAGCCTGGGTTCAGCTGCAGATACTTTTCATCCACAATAAGTGTATCCAAACCCTGGAGAGCAGCTGGGATGAGTAAAATGATGGACTTCGGCCCCAATGAGTGAACCAAGGCACCTAGGCCGATTTCTCGATCCACCTGGAATTTTAGGGATTAAAGCTTTTAGTCAAATTATCTTAAGACAGAGTGTGAACCTCCACACCTCATGAAGCACCATCACGTAAGTGTACACACACACACATGCCGTAGACCTGCATAGGTACTCTTATAGCCATACATACACACATATATGTAACTAAAAGGAGGCAGAATAAATATAATTAAAAGGCAGAATATAAAATATATAACATACAGAAATATATATATACATCTTAAAATATGCATAAAAATATATAAAATATGTACTTTATATAGAATATAAATATGTAATAACACTTTACATATAAACATAATATAAATATATACAATATATATTTTTACATAATATATATTGTTATAGTTGAATATAAATATAAAATATATATAGTTTTATATATATGTTTCAAAGTATGTATACTTAATACAATACATACTTATATATACTTATACGATATATATTCTGCCTTTTTAGTTTTTCTCTGTTTGGCCAGAAGCATGACCACTTTTTCTTTCTGTTCTGTTTACAGCAGTGTTACTGCATCTTATGAGGAAGTTTATCCAATACTAGGTAAGATAAAAATTGAGCAGACAGAAAACCCTTCAAAGCCATAGAAAGGCATCAGGTTAGAGACCGGCCTATAGTTTCTCCCTAGGGCCAACCTGGTCAGTTTCTTTCCTCTCTGGCATGAGAATAGCTCATTAGCTGTTTCTTTGGTTGAGTCTCAGCTGAGATTCAGAGAAGCTCACTGGGTCCACTCCCAGCCAGGCTGTGCCCTGGTCCCCCAGCACACAGGCCCGATGCCTGTGTGCCCGATGCCTGTGTGCCCGGTGCCTGTGTGCCCGGTGGTTGAGGCAGCTGCTCTCTCGTGGCCCCTCCCACTTCCCTGATCTGGGCTATCGGTAGACAACTGAGACGTGTTTGTTCCCAAACCTGTTTACACCAGTTGTACTTTCTCCATTTAAGACATGTAACTAAATGTAATGTAAACAAACGTTGCGTGAATGTGACAAGGAGAGGTATTTCTGTGAAGCTACACCGTTGTCTTGGAAAGGCTTGTCAAGGCTGAACAAAAAAGATGGGCAAATTAAGTAGAAACAAGATAGCCTTAAAAGATTTGTGGGGAACATCATAAAAATCTAGGCGGAGTCCATAGTCGTATTGCTTCTCAGCTTTCTTTGGAATTTTTTTTATCTTCTTTAAAGTTGGGGCGCCTGGGTGGCTCAGTGGGTTAAAGCCTCTGCCTTCAGCTTAGGTCATGATCCCAGGGTCCTGGGATTGAGCTCGCATCAGGATCTCTGCTCAGCAGTGAGCCTGCTTCTTCCTCTCCCTCTGCCTGCTTGTGATCTCTGTCTGTCAAATAAATACATAAAATCTAAGAAAGAAAGAAAGAAAGAAAGAAAGAAAGAGAGAGAAAGAAAGAGAGAAAGAAAGAAGGAAAGAAAAAGACAGACAGACTAGAACCTGAAAATCATAGCAGATTTCTGGTTTATACAGAAAATTGGGACTTTCAGAGAGTGGACCCATTTTCAAAGACAAGGCATTACTCCTGTACCAAATTTGCAAATGACAGTGTACACTCATATGTTTAAATGTCTGTGAATGTGGTGCTGGTTTTGGCAGCACATCTACTAAACCTGGAATGATAGATTAAGCATGGTCCCTGAGCAAGGATGACACATAAATTCTGTGAATCTATGTAAGTATCAATGAGTATATCTAGGTAGATAGATACATAGATAGATAGTTAGATTGGTACATAGATAAATAATATAATAGATATCATAGAGCTAGATAATATAATGAGAGTATCACTTTTATGATTCCATGCTTTAACCGGTTTTTTTAGACTGAACATCAACCCAGTCATGTACAGGAATGTCTCTTTTGCAGCTGTGGTCTGTTGTGTAAAATACACATGTCCACTGAGCACGTCAAGATGCTTATACTACGCAGGTTACAAGAGAACTGAGCCAGGCTGGGGAGAGAGCAGACAGACACAAGTCTTCCTGATCATGCTCATCAAGGACCCATGTAACTGAGGGACGCTGTGGGCAGAACTATCTATGCAAGCTTGCTGACTTCACTCACTTTCTTTCTCCCATTCCCCCCCCCACATCTTCTCTTTTCCTCTCTGCCTCTCTCTCCTCTCTCCCTAACCAATGTAGTTTAGTTCAGAGGACTCTGAAATCAATAAGGGAGAGAGTATTTGGAGTTGAACAACAGTGTATTTCAAAGTGTGCTTCTTTCTTTCTTTTTAAGATTTTACTTATTTATTTGAGAGAGAGGGAGAAGCAGACTCTCTACTGAGCAGGGAGCCCAATGTGGGGCTTGATCCCGATGGGGGTCTCAATCCTGGGACTCCCTGGATCATGACCTGAGCTGAAGGCAGACGCTTAACCTACTGAGCCACCCAGGTGTCCCTTCAAATACTTGTTTCAAGAAAGGTAGTCTTTGGCTTAAAAAAACCTTTGAAATATTTGTTTGTTTATGTTTGTTTACCTCCCCCCCCAACACACACAGAAGGAGAGAGGGAATTCCTGTAAATAATGAGATAATGCAATTTGATTTATTAATATGTGACTTCCATTAGATAGTTCAGGAATACACCTACTTCCCATGAAGTGAGATTGGGATATAAGGAAAGAATTCTTTTTTAGGTGTCCCCAAATCCAATGTGTTTTAGGTCAGTTTTCTATCCTCCCTGTCTACAAACATTTTGGAAAGACCATCCTCTATCTCTGTGGCTGGTGTCTTTCACAACAGCATTCGTATGAACGTGCTTTAATTTATGCTAACCTGAAATGCTTAAAGTCATCAAACAGGTAGGATTATTGGGTTCCTGTTCATCCAGGGAATGCAGATCCCGAAGATAAGTATGCCGGAACACGAACTTCGTGGGAAAGCATGCATACCCACCTCCAACAAATAAGACACCATCCTTCATTTCAGTAATAGCTCTTTAGGGTTTAATTTTGATAGATGGTGAGGTATTTTATTCTAGCACATAAACCAGATGTTTCTCTCAATTTAATGGGGAACAACTGATGGCTGCCAGATTAACTAGGAAAGAAATGTTTCTCTCTGCAGTTCTGGACAATAATGCAATTTAATGGCATTTCACTTGGGCAGACTTCTAAGATGGATGCATTTGTCTTTTGCCTCTCAGGGCATAGGTCCAAATTTGGAGCAGATGGTGAAAAAGATGGATGGCCACAGAGATCTCCAGGTGAAATTGGTTGGATTTCCTCAATCCTCATTAATGCTTGGTTGACCATTATCCATCTCCATCTCTCTGACCCTCCGTAATGAATTCTGATTCCTGAGGATTTTCTGGTTCCAGAATAACCAAAATGTGCTGACTACAATCTGAACAGATTGAAAGAAGCAGTCACCTGCTATTTTTCAGGCTTTTGGAAGAAAGGGGCTGCCTCAACCTGAAATCTTGTCCTTCCTTCGAGCAACAGGAGATTTTCTTTCCTAGTAATGGGACACAACTGGGCAGGGTATGAATTCGAAAGCTCAGGGAGTGAGTTTAAGACACAAGTTTCTTCCGTTGTTGTTCAGGTAATAGGAGAGACCTTTGGGCTCTTAGATTAAGTTTAATGAGAGACTCACTGCCCATCACTAAGCAAGACAGATGGGGTCACTCCTGCTATGGAACAAGGTATAAGGAGAAGCAGATGATTGTGGGAAAACCCCAGAAGCATTGTTCCAGGCCATGGAGGTAAAGAGGAGACCCCCAAGATCAAAGGAAGGAGGCACCCATGGGAAGTACTAGGAACAGCAACGCTTTGTGGTTTTAATTAAAACAATGCCTAGGTGAGCTTCTTGATCTACAGCCTGATATTCTCATTTACTCCCACATTAGGGTAGGCTTATTGACATAATTGTTTTTGCTCATACTGAAGACTTTCCTGCTAAACAATTTGTATTACTGTTATTTTTTATTGCAATTGTATTAGCCTCCGTTCTGAGCCAGATGCCTTCTGTTTATAAACATTGTCAAAGACACTTAATAAGAGGACAAATGATCTCCATTTAGGATGGGAACTTATGGGTGGCTGACAAGGTGAGCATTAAGCCTTTGGTTGCCATAGACCTACAGACACATACGTATCCGTACGTTTTGGAGGAAGGAAACATACCAGCGAACAAAATCTGGCAGATCATAGGGGTTTAAGACCACAGAAGAAAATGCCCAGGAGATGTACAGTTAGTTTTAAGAAAAGCTAAATAAGTGTGGCATTTTCCATGGGCCTTTTCTTCACTTGAGCAGAATGACAGTATTTTACTAGTCAACCAAGACATAAATCAAGATTTAAACCAACTTCTCACCTTTCATGCAAAGCCTAACCTCAGTAGTTATTAAAAATAAATGAGATTTAAATAGATGTAGAAGCACCTATTTTATTTCCCATTTCATGCTCCTGTATTTTGTACTGTGGTTTTTAGATCTGTTTGTGAAGGCTGATTGGGGCAAAGAACAGCCCTGAGGGACAGCTGGGAAGGGAACAGGCTTTCAGGTCCATGACAAAGTCCCAGGCTCTGGGTTCACCTGTTACCAACTCACCAAGTGACCTCAGCCCAGTTTCCTCACTTTGAAAAATGGGAACAATTACACAAACTGTCTTTTTATGGGATGCAGTGGTGTCTATGATTGGCACCATTGGTGGTTTTAGGCTGAGAGTCTGAGGGTGTAACTCTCCTCTCTTCCTCAGGGACCACGAGTGTAGGTCAGGGATCCAAGTCCAGGGAGGGCATTGGATTTAATTTCTCCCTAGTCTACATAGCAGTTCCAGAGTCCAATAACCCACTGTCATTCTGACTGGAGAGTCAAGGAGAGGTACACGCCATTTTTCCACATCCTGACATTCTCCTGGATTACCAGCTCTCTGTCATATTCTCCCTGCTCACAGGGCTGGTGACCTGGGCGAAGTCTCCATGGGTCCCCTCCTTTTGCTTTCACCTGCTATGCGTTTCACCAATAACTGACTTCCAAGTGAATAGTAATTCTTGTTCACGTGCATTATTTTGCTTTCTTGAGAATGTGTACTAAGTTTTGATCATGTGCAGGCACCGTGCTTAACACTTTTTCTGTCATCCTCTCGTTAACTGGAGAGAACTGTGGAGAAGAAAGGGGACGGGAGTCCCCCAGACCAGGCAGCTGTCCTGTGGGGGTGGGGAGGCTCCCTCCCCAGCCTCTGAGTCTTCAAGGCTGCCTTGTGCAGCTGTCTTCCAACTGTTTGCTCTCCACCTGGTCCATTCTGCAGGCCACCACAAGACGTGTCCCCTGTACCGCCGTCCTGCTAGGATTTCCGCCTCGTAACCTGCCCAGCATTGTATGCACACCAGCCCTCCAAAAACTAAGCAGGTCTCTTTTCCCTTCTGCTTTCCCCAGACCCGTTCTCAGCTGCCACCAAAATGTGCTGTTAACCCAAATACTCTTGTGCCTCTGCACATTATCATTCCTTTCGGCAATTCCGTCTCCTAGCCTCTGTGCTGCCCTTCAGGGCCACGCATAAATCTGGATCCCTGAAGCCTTCCCTGACTGGCCCGGCTAGAGATCCTTTCTCTCCCCTCTAGCTGTGATACTGATGGCATGGTGTGTGGGGCCTGGCTGGGTACTCCTGCTTTCTGGTGTCACGATCCCTAGAAGGATCTTGGGCTTCCAGATGAGGAAGCCACAGAGAAGTTAGTGATGGTGCTGGGGCCAGAGGCTCATTCCCCAGTCCCACCAGTCCCAGACTGGTGATCTTTTTCTACTACAGTGTTTTACCTTCTGTCCTTCCTTGGAGGACAAGGACTCTACCCTGTCTATATTCAAAGTGTACCTGGCATCCTGCGTAGCGTCTTGTATCTAGGGGTTAATCAATAAGTATTTATTGAAAGAAAACAAAGGAAAGAAGATAAGAAGGGAAAAAACAGTAATAACTAACCCTTATATGGCCCTTTTGTTTTAACTTAATCCCCTTTCTAGTTGACTCCCTTTAAGCCCCTAGGGGGCGCCTGCGTGGTTCCGTCAGTTAAACGTCAGACTCTTCATATCACCTCAGGTCTTGATCTCAGGGTGATGAGTTCAAGTCTTGTGCTGGGTTCCATGCTGGGCGTGGAACCTACTTTAAAAAAAAATCCCTACGAAATAGGTCCTGTTATTCTCAGCCTCATTTTACAGGTGAGAAGACCAAGGCAAGAGAGACTAAAGTGACTTGCTCGAGGTCACAGAGCTGATAAGTGAGTGTCAGGACTTGAACCCAAGGGGTCTGGCCACTGAGCCTGTGCTCTTCTTCCGCCGTGTTCTGCTGCCGAGTCATAAAGGATGGACAGACAGGAAAGATATAGAAAGAAGGATGAGCCTCAGATCGGTGCCCAAGACAACAGAGCTGAGGACATTTAGATGAGGCTGCCATGTTTTGTCTTCTTTGAATTTCCATTGAGAAGGAGCTCCACTTAAACGTCGGAGTAATGGCTGGACCACGGGGTTTGTCCCTGCTCCCTGGATCATGGGTTGCCGTGAGACTCCCTGAAGGCATGGCACCCAGATTGCCTACCTTGTATCCCAGTCGTTATAGGAGGCTTGGTCTAGGGACTGTTAAATCGCTCCTGCGCCCCTAGCCCAGAGTCCCTTAGCTGGGGAACGGTTGCTGCTCTCTCCCCAGATGCTCCCTCCAGAGCATGTGCTTTTCATGGAAGGCTGCCTTCAAGGGAA